TAACAAATATAAATATATTTCAACCAATGTTGTTTTTGGCCTCTAGGGACATCAAAACGAAAGGATAAAGTGGTCCCGGGTCAAGGTCTTGCGGCAATAGCTTATTTCGTATATGGTATATTCATTAAAAAGTTAAGTATAATAAGCATAATCATAGAAATATGTTGACATTCTGGCTAATAAAATTAAGTGGAAGTTTTAGCAAGGAAATTTTAATTATTTTACACAAGTACTGGGTAGAAAGAAAATATGTGTAATACTGTTATCTGCAGCAAAACTTCTGATAATTCTCACATTTCTCATTACACAAACGATAACCGGATGAGTTTCACTATTCATAAAATATGTATTAAAACATTGTTAATACCAATAAAGCACATGAATAATCAAATTTGACAATAAACGCTTATGGCCTATTTAATTTTATTTTGAAAAGAGGCATATGAAAGTTTGTAACAACAAACTTATATGCCACCCTATCCTTTATCACATCCATAAAATCTCTGTCAACAGCACCGCTTATTAAACATTATGATTTCACTTATGTTATACTTAAATATAAATATTAGTTTTCTTGTTAAACCTTTTCATTTGAACGGAATGAGTTATTTCTGAGGAGATAATTATATTAGCTAGAGAGAAAAGTTTGCTTTGTTTTCTACATAATTTCAAATTCAAACAAACCACTGAGGATAATGACGTAGTTTAAACCCGTTGACAGATGTTAACATCAATCCCTAGGTTATAGGTGCAGTTTATTAACTACTGGAAATTCCGGCCCACAAAAATATTTACCTAACAAAAATAGTCACAAAAGTATATCAATAACAAATTGTTATACCAATACACCGAAGTATTTTGTTTGTTTTCGAAAATAAAATCCGGGGTTTTATTTATTATTATTATAATACACACACACACACGCGTGTCTATTGAATTTATAAAAAACAAATACAAGCATAAAAATGATATAAATCGTGATTGTAATGTAGTGTGATAAAGAATTTGTAAACAACTTATTTAATTGAGTGTTTGGTTTTATAGTCAAAGTTGGAATTAAAAGGCACAACGAAAGGAAACAAGTTATATGAAAGCAGATTGTGTTTCACGCCAGCAAATCTTTTAAATTGCATTTAGCTCAGGTCCAACTAAGCAATTAGGTAAATTATTCGACAGTTTGCGTTGCAGTTGGGATTTATCGTGTTTGTTTCGCTTTTAAATTAGCTTTGTACCTTAATGGAAATTGATATAATTTATTTTTAGCGTTTAACACGAAACCTAGTATTAAATCACTATGTCTGGATTTAGATGACTACTAAAACAAATCAAAACAAAACAAATTTTCTGTAAAACACTAAAATAAACTAAATTTAAATGTTATTTACTTTTCAATAACAATTGAGAAATAATTATAGACCTCTAATAGTTTTTCAAATTGTAATAGTAAGAAATATACTAGAGCAACGAGGTGAAGCTCAAGATTGGTCGATAGGGTTTTCCAGTAGATGAAAGCAAATGCAGTAGATATTTCTAAGATATTAACTGAAAATCTTATAATTTACCGAATAAATCAAGAAAATATATAAGGATCAGTTAAAATTCTAAAAAAAGATATAATCACTAATTTGTCTAGTGCTTTTTGGCCATCGTAAAAAACATTTTAATCAAACCATGTAAAATGTTTAAATTCTATTTGTGATTCTTTCTGCATTGCTGAAATATTATTAAACTGTCGTTTGGACAATAGTGAAGGGAGTTCTACAAACGAAAGTATTTTCTTTAACCTGATAGATCCATTCTTTTAGACCAAGGTACGTGTTGAGTAAAGAAACATCGACAACAGGGTTGTACCAGTATCACATACCTAAGTACCCATTTGATTGGTAAGATTTGATCCAAGCACTCTAACGATCATACTAGCTTCTATTCATGTAAACAATCTAAATAACAAGCATGGAGTCCAAGTAATTTTAGTTACCCTACACTATGACTCCGCTGCACGCCTGTAGAATGTTTCTCTATGTTCAGTTATGCACCATGGCGAAACACTAGACGGCGACGCGGCTCACTCCACAGAGAAATAAACACTCCATACAAGAATAAACACAACTGCAAAGAGTAATAAACACAGCCCAAGTGTTCTCGGCTTGGCTTACAACTGACCTTGTTACACTGGAGAATAATATTACAACTGTTAGTACTGTGTAACGTTTACAACGCTATTTGGGGGAGGTGACAACAATGGAATAAAAATTCATTAAGTATTTATTCAAGATAAAGTTTTAATATCTAAAAGAAAACTGTACAGTAAAATTTCTTCCAGGAATGTTTAAGGTTAAGCGAAATATATATCTTTTACTTTGTTTTGTTGGTAATCAGTAAAATAAAAACACATGATATTTTTACCAGATAACATTGGTAGCTCCAAGCGATGATAACTGACAAATAAAAATATTCTGGTTTTATTAAGATTTTTACAACCAATAGCTAGGAATAAACATAGTTTATTTTTTACTTAATAAATTAAGATAATCTACAAAAGTTATATCTTTCTTTGGAACTAGCCTTCTTTAAATAAAAAGAATGTTTTACAGATTTAAACGAAAGGCAATTTTAAAACAAGATATTAAACGTTATCAATTAACGTTAAGGTTGACCGACGCAACAAAATTAAAGTTGTAATGGATCACTGAACGAGGATACAACCACACTCTACTGATGTCGTTGTGTTATGTTGTTAAGTGCTCAGACTTAACCTGGTGTTTTGCACGTTCAAACATAACATTGATTGCAATATACCACACCTATTTTTACAATATGCTGAGAAGTACAAGTTTTAGCCTAGAGCAGAGTAGAGCTCTAGTAAATTTAGAAGTAGAGTTTTAGTTATTGCATCATTGTAAATAAAGTTCCAAGCTCATTGATAGCTTAAGTAGCTAAATAAAGTACTTAAGGTGAGTTAATGTATGCATTCAATTCCTGAAACTCTTAAGCAGATATTTCATGTAATACTAGCATCAACGTTGGTGACACATTGATAAATTTAAATGTAGTTTAGTAAAGAACTACACAATAAATCATTGGACGAAAACTAATCGCGAGAGCCCTTTATGCGTAATCTTAGTACAAATGAGTGATTTCCAAAGCCTTACAGAGTTCACGCACTAAAATGATCCATTAAAACGATATCATTATGAAAACCAGTTAAGCCAAAGGTCTAAAACAAAAGCCCGTGAGATGGGTTACTAATTAGGTCCATACTTTACCACAGAGGAATATACGCCAAGCTGGTCTTGTCAGGCTGACTTATTAAACAGTATGATTAAATTAGTCTGCTGATTTTGCTAAAGAAATTAAGTTAGTCCCGAATAATAAAACCATTATCTTGTAATTGCTGGGATTTATTTTTGTTTATTATAATGCTTAATTGTAAATTTGTACTAAAGTGTCAACTTATGTAGTTTAAATTTAAAAAAGTGACATTTATTTTGAGTTTAGAATTTTACAAGCGGAGCTATAAATCATGCATTAAATAACGTTAATCCCTGTTCTTATAAAATAACTTAGCAAATTGGCAACAACTCTGGGAGCCAATGACATAAAGGTAAACAATGCAGAAAATAATCATTCCTGAATTAGGATTGCTTGAAGAATAATGCAGTATCTCAGGAAATAATCTTTTCAAACTTCGCTCATTTAGAGCTGGAACAGAAAAGATTCTCTTTAGGCCTTGGTGATGGAACACCATGTTTTTAATTAACGAGCTATGTACAACCATTTTAAATTCCCCTTTCAACCATATCATCACTAGTTAGTGTAATGTACATACACATTTACAACTACATGGACATACGTGTGGCCCAGAACACACATTAGTTTAGTCCACACAGCTGACAGACAATAAATATTGGTTATTGCACTGTTGAGGCGAATTACACGATGGTACTAGCCGTCCAACGATGATGTTGGATTATTATTCATATCCATTCAAACTAATTATATTATACAGAAGTTCAACTGACGAAAACCAGTATCAATTTAATTTATATATAAAAAATATTGTTGGAAAAAACGTTGAAAAGATTTGATTAAGAGCGGAAGAATATAGTTAATTGACTAAGTCAAATTGACAGGTTAAAAATGGCAGTCAACTGCTTAAAAATCTTTGCCAATTAATTATAATAATCGTGCAACTAGTTTAATGATTAAATCGTTTCAAACATCTAAAAAAATAACCGTTAGTTTACACTAGCTGTCTGCCAAGGTAATGCAGTGGCTTATGAAAACATTGTATACGGAATCATTTAACCAAATGCATTTGTTCATAATTTACTAAACGTTTAATGAAAAAGATAACCTTAAACCCTCGGAAGCACACAAAAGGGACATGCATTTTGTTAAACCTTAACAGGTCGTTCACGAACTAAACCTACAAACTTAAACTATGCTACGAGCGGATATTCGAACAAAATAATTGGAATCAATGATTTATTTTGAAACACAGTTATTAAAGTGTTACGTACATATCAGCTACTTTACATACAATGTGATATTGGTTATTACTGAAACAAACTCATCCGCGCAAATAAAACAGTGAAATTTGTCCGTACAAACATTGTTCTTTGGTTTTAATTTAAAACGTTCGTTGATAAATCTTTTCCTGCCAGGAACATTACTGGTGATTATTGTAGGATGTTTTTTGTAATTATTTATTGGTTTTCAAGAAAAGTAGCAATTAATTATTAATGATATAAAGCGTATGATTCCATACTTAAAATTATTGTTGAATTCATACAAAAAAAGGAAAAAAAAACAAGTTTGTAAATGAGTCTCTCTGTTACATATTAAATAAAAGATGTGTAAAATAAAATAGGTGTATTCTGAATTGAATCCTAAATAACAATGATTGTAAACAAAAACAAAGTTAACTTTTTAAATATAACATATGGTATTTTGTTAAACATACAGTATGTTAGAAAAGACACATCAATTTTCCCCCTTTAAAGTCTTGATCGCAGCATTTGATCTACATGTCGTCTGCATGTTACTCCGTTCTCCAGTTCAACGTTGTAATGTAGATTTCCATCTCTTGATGTAACTTTTCCGAAACTCCATTTTGTCTGACCCTTGTAGTAGTTTCTCACTTGAACACGGTCTCCCACCTTAAATATGCGTGTTATACCTTTAGGTTTGTCTTTTGAGTCCTCGATTCTAGAAGGTATCATAACACTGAGGTATGTTCTTACTTGTCTGTTGAACATGAGATGGTATGCCGAGTTTCCTGTTGAGTTTGGTACTTGACGGAGTTGAATTAACGCCTTGTGAATTTTACTGTCAAGTGTTCCTGGTTCATCTAATATCGACTTCAACATCTTCTTCACTGTTTGTACAAAGCGTTCAGCTTGTCCATTAGATGATGGGTGGAACGGAGCAGTCGTTTTGTGTTGAGTTCCACATGACTTAAGAAACTCTTGAAAAGTAAGAGAAGTGAAACTTCGTCCATTGTCTGAAATTAGGAGGCTTGGAAGACCAAAAGTACTAAAAAGTTTCTTCAACTCCTTAATAGTCCAATCGGTAGTTGCTGTTTTTGTGGGTATTACCTCTACCCATTTGGAGAAGGCATCAACAACAATGAAAAATTGTTGTCCATTTGTTGGGCCCATGAAATCTATATGTATTCTCTCCCATGGCTGAGTTGCTGGTTCCCAAGGATGGTTGATCTCTTTCGTTGGAGAATTTTGTTTCTCACGACAAGGCTTGCAAACAGCAATCATGTTTTCAATGTCTTTATCCATTCCTCTCCAAAAGCAGTAACTTCTTGCCAAAGCTTTGGTTTTTACTATACCAATGTGCCCGTAGTGTAGTTCATTGAGTATTCTTTTCTTGAGGGAATTTGGGATGATTACTTTCCACCCTTTGAAGAGGCATCCTTCATGTAATGTAACTTCATTATCGTGAAATCCCAATGGCTCTAATGATTGACCCTCCTCAAGAGCCTCAAGAATTTGTTTTAGATATGCGTCCTTCTTAGTTTCTTCGGCTAGTTCTTTGGGATTGATAGTTATGGTGTTCAATTGGTTTGTTTGAAAATGTCCAAACTGGTCAATACTTGTAAATTTTGAATCTTCCACAGGAAATCTTGAGAGGAAATCTGCATTCCCATGGTCACCAGTTCTCTTGAATTCAATTGTGTAGTTAAATCCTGATAAAAAATGGGAGTAGTTGAATAGTCGCGTAGCTGACATTGACGGTAGGCTCTTGTTGGGATTGAAGATTGACACTAATGGTTTATGGTCCGTGATGAGTGTGAAATGACGTCCGTAGCAATAAGAAAAAAATTTCTTCAACCCCCAGTATATACCTGTGGCTTCTTTATCGATTTGGCTGTAATGTTTTTCAGCATTGGTCAATGATCTTGAAGCAAAAGCTATAGGCTTTTCACTTCCATCTGGGAAACGATGTGATATCACTGCTCCAAGTCCCACTGGTGAAGCGTCAGTTGCAAGGATCAATGGCAGGTCTGGGTTAAAGTGACAAAGAACTGTGTCACTTGTTATTCTTTTCTTGATGTTTTGGAAACTTTCTTCACACTTACTGTCCCATATGAATGACTGCCCTTTTTTTAGAAGTCTATGTAAAGGATTTAAAACAGTGGAAAAGTTCTTTACAAACCGGTTGTAGTAATTAACAAGCCCTAGGAAAGATCGGAGTTCCTGTATGTTTTGAGGCCTTCGTGCATTTGTAATTGCTGTGATTTTATCCTTACTTTTGTGGATTCCAGTGGCGTCAATAACATGTCCTAAGTATTCAATTTTCTTTTGAAAAAATTTGCACTTGTCACGGTTCAACTTCAAATTTTGACTCCTTAAACGCTCAAACACTTGCTTTAGTCTTTCTAGTAGTTCTTTTGATGACGTTCCTTGAATTATTATATCGTCGAAGAAGCACTGAACACCTTGAAGGTCTTGAAGGATTCCGTCCATCACCTTTTGCCAAACTCCTGGAGCAACTTTTACACCAAACATCAGTCTGTTAACTATGTATTGTCCTTTATGAGTGCTCAAAGTTTGAATTTCTGCACTCTCAGCATCCATTTCCAAGTGGAGATAAGCGTTACTTAAATCCAAAGTACAGAACAACTGTCCTCCATTCATTTGAGCAAAAATGTCTTCGATCCGAGGTATTGGATGATGTTCTTCTTTGATTTGTTTATTTACTGTAACCTTGTAATCAGCGCATATTCGTATGTTACCATTAGGCTTTACTACAGGTACAATTGGAGTTCCCCAATCGGACTTGTCTGTTTTGGAAATGATTCCAGCTTCTTCCAGACGATTCAACTCGAGTTCTACTTTTTCAGTTAGTGCATATGGGACTGGACGAGCCTTCACAAAAATAGGTCTTGCCCCTTCAACAAGCTGTAAGTGTGCTTTTTTGTGAGGTATGAGTCCTACTCCTGGTTCAAATAATTCCTTGAATTCATCCAAAAGATCTTCGAGTGCAGTAGATGTAGTATTGTTACTAACTGTTTTGAGTTCTGCCCAATCCAGTTTGACCTCTCTAATCCATTCTCTTCCGAAAATGGCATCGAAATTTTGGTTCACTATGTAGAGTTTCCCAACAAACACCTGATCATTGTAAGTGCATTCTACAAAGACGACACCCCGTGGTTTGATGATTTCGCTTGAGTATGTCCTTAGTTCTATGTTTGTAAGGAAAATCTTTTTATTTATGTTGAGACTTTTGAAGGTAGAGTATGGTAGAATACTTATTGCTGCTCCAGTATCTAACTCCATCCGCACAGGTTTACCTTCAATAAGTATCTCGACCATAAACTTGTCATTACCGGCACTCTGGTTGTGTATCTTAAAAACCTCTTGTTTCTCTTCCTTATAATAGTCTATAGTATTGTCAGTTTCGGTACAATGAATTTCTGTTTGTTTTGTGCCTAAACATACGCTAGCAATATGCCCTTGTTTGTTGCATTTCTTACATATTTCTCCGATAAATTTACACTGATGTGCCCTGTGTCTAGGTGATCCACAACGATAGCATTTACCTTTGAGGCGTTCAAATGGAGACTTTAACTTTTTGTTCCAAGTAGGAGAAAAATGGGGTGGTTTTGTTCCTGTACCTGCTATCTTGTTGATTTTCTCATTTGAATGAATGTTTTCTTCTACTATATAGCTTTCGTTCTTTGCCAATTCCATAATGGAGGCAAGTTTCACTACATCTTGAAACGATGAAGCAGATCTTTCTTGTAATAATTTTGTTCTTATGTCTGAATTGCTAATACCTCTTATAAACTGCATGCGTAGTAATGTGTTTGCAATTGATTTCCCACAATTATTACAGTTGAAGTCACAGTCTGAAGATAACTTTTGAAGCTCAACGGAATATATTTTTACGGTTTCTTCAGATTCTTGTGTTCTTGTCATAAATTTGTGTTGTAAGGCCCAAGTACTAGGTTTAGGGTCAACATAATCAGCCAAAAGACTTACTAATTCAGCATATGTTTTATCCAAAGGACTTTCAGGAGCGCACAAATCATACAGTTTCTGATGTAAATGTGGCGTTAAGGCATGTAGCATTGTGTACACTTGATCCTTTGGTTCCAATTCTTGGCTATGTAGATATAGAAATATCTCAAATCGACGAATGAAGTTCTTGAATGATTCATTTTCCTGATATGGTGTGAAAATCATTGAGGAAGTAGTGGATCGACGTTGTGGAGTAGACAAATTTGATGTACTAGGCACAATATTTTGAGTGTTCACTTGTAGTTCTGCAAGCTGTCCCATACGTTTTTGTAACTCATCCATTACCTTGTAATATTTGTCCTCCATTTCTACTCTGTAATCTATTTCTTTCTCAATTTCAGCTTCTTCAGTTTTCTCTTCTATTAATTGTTGTACAGAATTAAATCTTTCCCAATAATCTTCAATTGTTGTTATCCTGGTTTTGATTACTTCTTTTGACATGTTTTGTAGGTTTGCTAGCCATCTTTCAGCCTTAGACAACTGACCCTTCACTACTACTCTAATCTTCTTTAAATCAGTCAAACTTTCAGTGTAACTTAGGTCACTCATATTAAAATATAAATTGTAATAAATAGAATGTAAAAAAAATTTAAAACTGGTTTTCCTCGTCGCCAAACTGTTACATATTAAATAAAAGATGTGTAAAATAAAATAGGTGTATTCTGAATTGAATCCTAAATAACAATGATTGTAAACAAAAACAAAGTTAACTTATTAAATATAACATATGGTATTTTGTTAAACATACAGTATGTTAGAAAAGACACATCACTCTCAAAACTGAATCTCAAAAGTAGCCTTTCTTGTTTCACTTTTAGATTTCCAAAGTTTGTTCAGAAAAGAAAAGAGCACCTCAAGTCACGGAGCGACGAAGCTACATAATTGACGAAGTGCAAACCATATCTCGAGTCTAGTGAACATTTTGGCGAGGTGGCAGAAGTTCAAGTGTTTGACTTGTAAGACAAGATGAATATTATATGGAGATTAGAGCATTCAATCTCAACAAGAAAACTTGTAATTTATTGTCACGAATCCCTAATAAATCAATTGGTAAAAACGTTGGAATACTGTAATACCTTATTATAGTTATCCTTACATAGATCTGTGGCCATTATTTCTCCTATAGTGAACAGACACACCAATAATTATAAAGTTACATAATATAGGCCTAATCATTGAAATACTCTCCTAAAGCTTTAAGAGGTATTTGTACTAAAAACATTCCAAATACTTAGGCTACACATTTTCTAAAAATTTCTAAACATTTAATGATTAAATTTATGTTTGTTAACTCTGACCAAAGTGTTTATAGAGTAACTTAAACAATCCAACCGCCATTAGTATCTGATATTATTATATCAAACTATAGATTATTATATTTTATCAAAATATTATTTTTTTATGAAATGGTTTGGGATTCAAATCAAAGGAATTCACATATAATTTAAGTGTGAACCGACCACTAAAAACTGCTGATAATTGAAAGAAAAAAATAAACAGAGGGAAGAGTGAACAAAAAAACCTACACTCATTTTATATAGTACTAGCAGAGTACCCGTCCTTCGTACGGGGTTGGCATATAAGTATCAAATGCTTATAGCAGTTATGAGTGAGGACATGGTTTAAGAAATTTCGGTTCTTTTTGAAGTTCGTTCGCTACGCTCACTCACCTTTAGGTTGGAGCTCGTTCGCTGCGCTCACTTTCCTTCAGGTTAGCTCGTTCGCTACGCTCACTTGCCTTCAGGTTAGCTCGTTCGCTACGCTCACTCGCCTCCAGGTTGAAGTTTGTTCGCTACGCTCACTCACCTTTTGCTGTTGTCATAAATGTAAAAGAAATAATAGTGCTAGTGCTGCACCCTGTTGGTAATCCTTGTAACTTTAATGCTATTGAACATCACAGAACAGAACCAACTTGTTTAATTGAAACAGCTGTTAAGATTCAATAATTTCATTTCTCATAAGGTTAACATGGGAAACTCCAGAGCCACTGGGGCGGAGCCCGAAAGGATTTTTGGGATAAAAATATGCCTATATGTTAATCGGGAATGTGAGCTATCATCATGCCAAATTTCAGCCCGATCCGACCAGTAGTTTTCGCGTTTACTTTTCCCATACACACACACAGACACCACCTCTTTTTTATAATAGTATAGATAGAAGATAGATAGCTGCTTAACGCACACGTTTTAAGTGAATTTCTACAGGGAAGTAGCTATTACCGTAGGTGGCATTGTAAGATGTGGACACGGGACCGGTATAATTGTTTATTTTGTTGATGTACCTGGAAGCCAAAAACACTATTCGTTCATTTTTTTTATATATTTTATATTTACGTCCGTGAACTCGATAACTTGAGTGATTTTTGTCAGATTTTGATGAAATTTGGCTTGAAGATGTAGAGCAAGATAAACTTGAATGAGTTCGCGAACCAGCATGATCGGATCATAGGAACGGGACTTTATTGGGTAAACATTAGTTTTTTTTCTCATTTTTGGTACTTAAATCACAAAATTTACAATTTCTCTTCAAACCATTTTACAGAGCTTAAAAAACAAATAATTTTGTATGTTGAGCTGTGTTTTTGAGCAATCCAAACAAAAAACAGAGAGAGTGTTGAGGTGTTTTTGGGTTTCGGAAAAAATCCAAAGAAATGTAAATTCAATATTCCTATATATTTTTTTATGAACAATAAGTAAACTGTTGTAGTTTGGTTATTTATGGACACACATTGATCAAACATGACCACTTTCTTTATTTTACACTAAGCTAAACTATATAAAAAAAAACACACACACACACACTTTATCACCCGCCTAGTACCTAGCAGCAAACCTAGGTAATCGTTAAATCTAATGTAATTTAAATATATTTATGTGGGAATCAAATCAGGCAAATGGAAATTCACTTGGTATGCAGATTTGCTGTGGTGGGGGTATTTTATCAACCACAATTAAGATTCCACTAATAAAAAGAAATATTTTTGTTACGATGTTCAAATATCGATTATCTGTCAAGTAGGCCTACTTACTCTGTGTATACACATCTTCTACAATAGATTTGTTAAACAATTAAATTGTATGTAGTAATTATACAATTTTATTGAATTTTAACAACGTGTTCACCCTAATTGTTGCAAGCCACTATAATCAGGCCACAGCATTGTCCGCAAAATAACCTCAACCTTTCATCTTGTGTAGATCCGCTTACCAAAGGTTGGGCAAACTTTTCTGTTTAATTACACCACTACAAGGGCAACCAGCCAGGCAACTTGTTAATATTCCTAATATAACTTTAAAAATCTTCAAATATTCTGTAAAACTAGCTTTTAAATTACTAAATTACGGTTAACGGTGCTGTTCTATTATCTGGAAACTAATTATTTTGTTCGGTACGTTTGGTAAAGTTAGGTAAGGGCAAGGGTAAGTTATTACAGCTTCATGTCTGTACATTGTTGGGGTTAGTTGTTTGAAAATTTACCTTTAGACTTTGATGTGATGCGATATAATAGAAAATTACCTAGCAGAAGGATTAAAAGTATGTGTTCATACAGTATATATGTAACAAATATTTTAATGGATAAACTAATAGGTTTAAGGGAATATTAACGTATATTTTTGAGCTGAAATTACGTACATACAGGATTCATTTATTTAACAGAAGTTACTTGAATTTAAGCAAACGACCAATAAGAACTGTATTAGTTTGTTGACAGCCTGGAGAGAATTGTCATAATCTTGAATTTTAAGACTACATCTACAGGTTTGAGACTTATAGCTGTGGAGTACAATTTTATTTGACACAATTCTAACTAAACAGAACCTTTGCATGTAATAGTATAATTGTATTATAAATCATACCTTATTCGTTTGTAATGTATTTGGTCGGTTCAACAGTGTAAATAACAGGACGTTTACCGTGACTAATAATTAACAATCTTTAACCATTAAACAAAATCAATGGTATACTTAGGTACGATATTCAATGAATATATAAAGACCATTTCATCCAATCTCGCAAAAAGCTATTGCTGACCCAAAACTATTATTATATAATAACTAACTATTATATATAACTATTATTGTATAATAATGAAATTATGTACTGTATATGAGGGTTAATTGAACAAATAGTTATAATTACTCCTAACAAAGGTACCTCAACTGGTTTCACATAGAATCAGAATCTTAAATAAACATTTCAGAGCTAATAAAAACTCTTAGCCATCTAACTAGAATCTTAAATAAATATTTCAGTGCTATTAAAAACTATTAGCCATCTAACTAATATACAGTACATATGCTTGTCGCAGGCATAGGCCTAAATTATTTTCAAGTCTTGTCCACCCCCTGATATAGAGTTTGAAAATAAAAAAAACAAAGTCTTTGATCAGCTGACTAATGCATTATTAGATTAGGCCGCCCTCACCAGTGCCCACCTCCGGGCATGTTCTCTTTACAGAGGTTTGCAGGGGCATTGTAGGGGGGAAGGGAGGTTTGGTCGGTCAGTTAGCCTCGGGCCGGGCACTACAAGCACGTGATGTACAAGCAGAATAGGGGACATTAGAAAACATCTTAGGTAAACCTGCTACGCCAGAGTGTAGGAAATTGTTAGAAAGTCGCATTATTATTACTTCTGGTTGCCCTCCTAGATAAATAAAATGCTATTAAATTATGTAAACGTCAATCAATATCTGAACTGTCACTGATTAGTCCCGAGTGCAAAAAATACTGTAAACTGTTTGACAAAGCTTAAATAAAGGGACAGTTTGAGGTTCATAAATGAATTGGACAAATTTAACGTCAACTTTTTCAGTTGGATATCGAAAATGAGAAACCAGTTCATTAGGTTGGTAAAGTAAGGTGTTTAATCAAATGTTTGAATGTCAACTATATTGCTTGTTAGTTTTTAGATTAATGTTACACACTTCAGAGTTAATTAGGTACAAAATAATTGAACAACTAACTCACTTACCACTTAACTTGTCAAATAGATATTAGTTATAATAAATGGATTGATAAACTAAATTTTTACTATTAAATAGTTAGCGATTTTTCACGTATATCAATATTTTTAGGATTTGAGAATATATATTGTTCAATATGTTTTATTGGTACATATTTGAGTGGTAAACAAACACATAAAGTAAAGTTACAATTTCATTTTCTCCTATGAAGGTTCTACAAAGGGATTAATATCAGCTTACAGGTCTTCCAAGTATGTATTTTACTTTAATATTCAAGTTACAAAAGCACATTTAGTTGTAATCTATCAACGATACACTTTCATAATATTAACTGAACGAATTT